GATACGTTCACGAATCATATGTAGATAGTAGACATGCAATACGAGACTTGTCACCTCCTACGCAGGAGAGATGTCGTTGGGCCCCTTGTGGAAATCGGACTGTGAAAATGTGTGGCCACGCTATAGATGAATGTACGTCTATTTTATCAGTCTGTTTGCCTAGACGAGTAAGCGGTTGAACTTGAAGGGTGGCTCATACCATGCCCTTGTTCAACATACGACATCGTGAGACAAAGGATCAGAATTCGAACTATGGATGGCTTTCTTAGATCACCTCTAACTCTATTCTAGGTGGGTGGTCATGGTGTCTTACTAGAGGCTAACCATGACTTGTGGTTCGGGAAAAGGGTTTCCGAAACCACTACCACTTCGAATGGGCCTACAGGGTCACACACCATTAAGGATGGATCACACGTGAAGAGAACAACGCGAGAAAGGAACGACGGAGCAATCTGGAACGGTTCTAGATGGCCAGACCGTCCGGTCCAGACCTGGACCGGACGGTCCAACCATTTCGGACCGTCCGTTCCAGTAGAAAGTGGAATGTCCGTTCCGCAAGGGCCAGACCGTCCGGTCTAGGCATCAAGACCGTCTGTTATGCGAGGAAAAGCGGAACGTCCGTTCCGCGTGGAATGTCAGACCGTCCGGTCCAGACCTAGACCGGACGGTCCGACTTTCGGGCAGATTTTCTATTTCGCGTTTTAAGGGTTTTGGGCAATCCTAATTACTGAGAGAGCTGCCAAAAACCCTAGAGAACGAACCTCAGATGTCCAAGACACTCATTAGAGGTAAGAGAAGCTTGATTTTGAGTTCTAGAGATTGGAATATTGATTCCAAGTCAAGGACATCGTTTTCTTTTCACAAATCCTAGTAGATACGTTCCAAACTGTTGGAATTCATCCCGCCGGTGTGGATACGTGTAGAGGAGTTGTGCTTTCAACTCTTGGTGATTAAAACAGGCCCTGGATCGATTGATACTTCCAGATCTTAAAAGAACGAGGTAAGTATTCGAATCCCACGATGATATACACAATTGTTCGGGTTATTGCACAATTTGTTTTGTGTGACGTTTGGTTAGGTTTAGATTTTTTTTCTTCCGCTGCGTGAAACCTAGAATCCAAACCCTAGATCGATGAGATCGCATGCTAGGAACCCGAAGGGAACCCGACAATACTAAGTCTGTGGTCTTTGTTCTGAATCCTAAAGATGCAATATCCTTTCTCAATAGGTCCATGAACTGGTAGGTAATAGTGGTAACTGGATAGAAACTCTAAGGTGAGTTCCTTGTAGGATTCTTCTTGAGCTGAATAAATCCTGTACCAACCTACCTTTCTCATCAGATTTGCAGTCTGGGATTTCCATCTCCCAAAGTTACTCCCTATTATAGATATGCTTCTGAATCTGGTGGGAATCTGAAGAACATTCTGGTTGTCCTCATACAACTTCCTTTCGTATGGGGATTCAAACTTCAGTGGCTTGACTTCACAAGCAGGGATTTCGAAGATTTCTGTCAGATGGTAGATGTGCGTGTTGGTACCTGGAGGTGCGAAGTGGCATTGATCATATCTCATCGTGCCGTGAGGGAGAGATCGATGTTTTGCTCGTTCTTCTGGGAAAAATTTTGGAGAGATCGAAGTGAGGTGCAATTTTCGAGGTTTTTCTTTTATTTTTGTTGAAATATCGATGTTTTGGACATCAATATCGATGTTTCCGAACGTTGATATTGATTTAGATCTGAAAAAGTTCAGGTCTCGATATTTTTAACCTCGATATCGACATTTTTAAATCTCGATATTTTCGAAAATCTCAGATCTAGGGTTTAGTTCGGATATCAAACTCCAAAAAAATCGATATCGACGTTTCTGAACCTCGAAATTTCCAAACATCCCCAATTTCAACCACGGATTAGATCTCGACGTTCTAGAACATCGATATCGATGTTTCCGAACATCGAGATTTCCGAAAATATCCAATTTCAGATTTGACACAAATCTAGACATTTTGGAACCTCGATATCGAGGTTTCCGAACATCGAGATTTCTTAAAAAATTGTCCGAAAATCCGATTTTTCGCGTTTTTCTCCTTCCCGATCACTTTAGGTCCTTTTCTAGCAATATATGCTCGTGATGCATGAAATTAAACGTGCTAATGCAATGCAATCGCACATGTTACCTCCCGTGAAGCACTAATTTAAGGTTACCAGCTTGACCCTCTCATTTTCAGTGATCTGGTGGTCGCGTTGGACAGAATTGGTTTACTCCCCGCCATCCCGGGGGTATGTACACTGCGCTAGTGCACACAATTGGCTTTGACTTACAATCGGTTCCGCTCGTGGAATCAGGGATTGGATCTGGCGGTTTAACCTGAATTCCTAATCCAACATCAGGAATTTTTAGCGTGATGCTCTACTTTCGCGGAACCTTTTCGTTGTGTTTCTCCTTAGACGTCATCATTAGGGATTCGGGTTTGACTTTTATCTCGTTCTCTGCTTCCGAGCTTACGGAATTAGCCACTGGTAGGATGTAGACGTCTCCGTTATAGGCAATTTCTTTGCCCTTATCCTTCATCTGTAGAAATTATTTTTCCGGTTTACCAGGCGGTTCTTTCGGAATAGTCAATGACCGTGCATTTTCTTCCTTAGTCAGTTCTGGCTTTGGTTCCAGCTTGAATTCAATGTCCTCATCTCCTTATGCATCTCTATGCATCCTTTCGGGACATGAATTACGGCATCAACAGTGTTAAGGAATGGACGTCCTAAGATGACTGATTCATCATTTCTGTTATCCATATCAGTAACCACAAAATCGATCGGAACGTAAACGTTTTCAACCTTAAGTGGTATGTCCTCTAAAGTCCCAAGGGGGGCTTTCACTGACTTATCTGCCAGCTGCAAAATCATCTTAGTGGGTTTCAGTTCACCCACGTTCAGCTTGTCATATGTGGTCTTTGGTAATAGACTCACACTCGCTCCCAAGTCGCACAGTGCACTAGGAATAGAGACGCTGCCCAGTTGACAGGGTATAGAAAAACTTTATGGATCTACCATCTTGGCTGGTAGGTTTTGTTGCAGTACAGCAGGATTACTGGTTCTTCTTCTAATTTCTCCTTCTTAACGAGTGTGTCTTTAAGAAATTTCTCATAAGATGGTGTTTGCGCCATCGCCTCTTGTAGGGGTTGGGCGATTTCCATCTTTTCCCACATATCTGCGAACTTCGTGAGCTTGCCGTCTACTCTTGCGAAGTACGTTATAGTCACTGTGGGAACGGTATAGGAGGTGATCGTGGAGGTGACAGAATGTATACATCCTCCGGTTCCTCTACGATCAGATTTCTTTGCCTTTCTAGATAAGCTCTTCTTTGTTCAGCAACGATTCTCCTTGTTCTGTAAGTTTCGTTCTCATTCGCATAGATAGTATTACATTGCTCACGAAGGTTCGGTTCAGGTTTACCAGGTAAAGTGCCTTGTGTCCTACTAGGCTTAGCTGCGAGTTGCGCGACCTGGTTATCTAGAAGCTTGACATGAGACTCTATCCCTTGGATTTGCTTCTTTAAATCACTTTGCTCGGTGACCATCCCTTGCATCGTGTTACTCATAGACGCTTGTCCTTGCAGGAGCGTCTCGAGCATCGACTTGATATCGGGGGTCTGATCCAACTTTTGTTGAGGTTGCTGTTGTTGACCTCTAAACTGCTGGTTTCCTTGATACCCTTGGTATCCTTGAAACTGTTGTTGAGGCCTCTGTTGGAAAGTTTGACCTTGGAATGGTCCTGCATTTTGGAACATTCGGTTCCTGTTTTCTTGAGGAGCATTTTGGTAATTGTTGCTCTTATAAGAGAAATTAGGATGGTTCCTCCAGCCAGGGTTGTAAGTGTTGGAATAAGGATTGTTGGCAACATAGTTAACATCTTTAACCCCTTGTCCTTGTGAGAACATGGACTGGTCCCCACTGAACTGATCCGATGATTTTCCTAAAGCACTACGGTTCGATGAATAGATCTGCATCTTCAGTTCAACTAATTCGGCCTGGAGAGAATGTACTTCACTAACATTCTCTACATTACCTCTTTTTCATGAAAATTCAGTCGGGGTGGTCCTATCGCTGGCCATACGCTCGATTAATTCTTCCAACTCGTCAAAGGTTAGCTTCTGAAGGCTACCTCCGCTGGTGCAACTAATGTAGAACCTTATCTCATCCCTCAATCCGTTCAAGAAAGTTGACAAAAGGTAGTATCTGTCGAAATTATGATGAGGGCATGCTCTTTGGTACTCCTTGAATCGTTCCTATGCCTCACCCAAGGATTCACCATGTTCTTGTGAGAATGAATTAATCTTGTTCTTCGCAAGTTGGGTCTTATGAGCAGGGAAAAATCTGTTCATGAATTTATCAGCAAGTTGATCCCAAGTATGGATCGAGTCTGCTGGCAGAGTGTAGAGCCATTCGAGTGCTTTTCCCAATAAAGAGAAATGGAAAGCAAGAAGTAGCACTTCCTCAGTCAAGACTTCGTTCGCAACTCTGACGGACTGACAGAGAGATTTGAACTGAGTTAGATGCAAGTTCGGGTCTTCAGTAGAGTTACCTCTAAAAGCACTTCTGTATAGCATCTGGATAAAGGCCGGTTATAAATCGAGGCGGGTTCGCCCGTTTTCCAGTCTACGAATACAAGAAAGTAGTGGAGTATGCTTTGGAGCAGTATAATCTCCAAAAGTAAGCGCTTCATTTCGCTCGACTGCTCTCGGTGAGCAGCGTTTTGCGCAGGATGGTCGTCAACATTTCTGTTGTCTTCCATTGTTTCCAATCTCCTTCGTTGCCTTAGGAGTTGAAGAGTTCTTTCGATTTCTGGGTCAGGAGGAAGTAGAGTTTGACTTCCACAGCTCCTGGTTATAAACCGAAAGAACCAGAGTTTCGGTTCCTGAAAGAAGGGAATCTGATGATGGTGGAAATAAAGTAGATGGTGGTGGAAAAGTAGAATCTAACCGACACCAAGACTGAATCTCAATCCCCGGCAACGGCGCCAAAAACTTGATCGTGCCAATCTAGGTGAATGGTTGTGTTGGTTTAGTGCTCTATGATGTACTGATTATGAGCTTTGTTCAGATACATTCGATGTATTGATACTTTTTATGAGAGTATTTTATTCATTACATGTTCTTGCATGCTAGATCTGTTATGAAATCCATGTGTCATTATGAATGATACAAACTCCCTAGTCTTGTGTCGTTATGGGAATAACAACATAATAAGACTAGTATGATCTGTGATTGATGATCACAGAGATGATCATAGGTATTGGATACGATCACTATCATAGGTATTCGTTGGAGAATGGAATACTGGATTGACCCGCATGAGATTGTCACATGGACTAGAGTCATGACTAGAATCTCATATGACGGTTCCATGATTGGATCCTAAGACCTGAGATATTTACGGAATCCAACATGAGGAGTTGCGTGCTTTGATTACGTCAAACGTCCTGCGTAACAGGAGGACTATAAAGGCGTGTATCAGGTACGAAACGAATCATGTACTGGATTGTAGATAGTCAAGACGGGATTTGTACCTCTCGTAAAAGAGAGAGATATCGCTGGGCCCCTCGGTGGGAGCGAGACTGTGGAAATGTGTGGCCGCACTATAGACGAACGTCGTCTATTTCAGACAGTCGAACTCAGTGAACGAGAAAGCAGTCGAATCAGATAAGGTGGCTGGTCCATGCCTTATGTTCGACATATGATATCGCGATACAAAAGGATCATCAGCCAGAATCATCACTGGTGTTCGTAAGATCACGAACCAACTCTATTCGAGATAGGTAGTCATAGTGTCTTGCTAGAGACCGCCTATGACTTGTATACCCGAAATAGGGATTTCAGGTTATACTGCTATGTCGAATGAGCCTACAGGGTCACACACGCAGGGAAGGACGAATACACGAGAGAAAACGACGGAAAACCGAGGCGGAAGGGTCCAGACCGGACGGACCGAAAGGTTCGGAACGGACGGTCCAGACCCTACGGTCCAGACGTGTGGTCCGTCCGTTCTGGAGACTAGAACGGACGTTCCACGTTAGCACGCAGACCGTCCGTTCTACGTGGTGGAACGGACGGTCCACGTTTTAGGCAGACCGTCCGTTCTACACACTGGAACGGACGGTCCCAGTGCTTTTCTGGACCGTCCGTTCCGGGTTCCGGTTTTCCGAAAATTAAACCGAAATTAGGGTAAAATCACTTTATAAGAAGGAGATTAAAACCCTAATTAAGAGAGTCGACTTTGAGAACTTCGATAGACTTTGGTGAGATCCAAATGGTTCTAAGAAGTGATTGAAGTCTTGTTTTCTCGAAGCAATATACCAAATAGTAGATTCGGGTCCTAGCAGACAAGTTCCAATCGTTGGAATCCATCCCGAGGTGTGGATACGTGTAGAGGGCGAGGTAATCTT